AGCTGATATTAAGGGAATTAGCCCTTCTATTTGAATGCATAAAATGCTTATTGAGGAAAATCACAAAGGCACAATTAAACAACAAAGATGATTGAATCCCACCATGAAAAAGGTGGTCAAGAAAGAAATCGTCAAGTGGTTGGATGTTGGAATAATTTATCCTATTCTGATAACTCATGGGTAAGTTTAGTTCAATGAGTTATTAAGAAAAAGGGGATGACTATGGTTGCCAATGACAATAATAAGCTCATTCCAATAAGAACTGTGACTCGAGGGAAAGTTTGCATGGACTACCACAAGCTCAACAAAGTTACAAGGAAAGATCACTCCCTCTCTCATTCATTGATCAAATGTTGGATCGCATGACTAGTAAGGCATATTATTGTTTTCTATATGGTTATTCTGGTTACAACCAAATTGCTATTGCCCCTAAAGATCAAGAAAAGATTATATTTACATGTCTTCATGGCACCATTGCATTTAGAACAATGCCATTTTGATTATGTAATGCACCTGCCACCTTTTAGAGATGTATGATGGCCATCTTTACAAACATGGTGGAGAAATGTTTAAAGGTAGTTATGGATGACTTTTCTGTCTTTGGAAATAATTTTGATGATTGTCTTCTAAATCTTGCTAAGGTATTTGAGAGATGTGAAGAAACAAATTGGGTGCTCAATTAAGAGAATGTCACTTCATGGTACAAGAAGGTATTGTTCTTGGGCACAAGATCGCTAATAGAGGCATTAAGGTAGATAAAGCAAAAATAGAAACAATTGAAAAACTACCACTTCTAATAAATGTCAAAGGTATTAGAAGTTTTCTTGGTCATGCTAGTTTTTATAGAAGATTTATTAAAGACTTTTTAAAAATTTATAAACTAGTTTGCAAATTACTGGAAAAGATGTGCCATTTAACTATGATAATGGCTATCTTGTTGCTTTTAATGATTTAAGCAAAGATTAATTTATGCATCTATCATAATTAGTCCCAATTGGACTCTCCCCTTTAAACTAATGTATGATGCAAGTGATTATAGGTGGGAGCCGTTTTGGGACAAAGAAAGGATAAACTCTGTCATTCCATCTATTATGCTATCTAGACTTTGAATAAGGCAAAGGAAAATTATACCACAACAAAAATGAAGCTCTTGGCTATTGTTTTTACTTTGGACAAATTTTGCTCATATCTCGTGAGGACAAAGGTGATAGTGTACACCAACTATTCAGCTATCAAATATTTGATTACCAAGAAGGATGCTAAGCCAAGATTGATAAGGTGGATTCTTTTGCTCTAAGAGTTGGATCTAAAGATTTGTGACAGAAAAGGAATAGAAAATCAAGTGGCAAACCACCTCTCAAGATTGGAAATTGAAGCTCAAGGTAAAGATTCAACATTAATCAAGGAGACTTGTCCTAATGAACAAGTCCTTCAAGTTGGTAAGAAATTACTTCCTTGGTATGATGATTTCATGAATTATCTGGTAAGCAATATTATTCCCCCTGATTTAAATTTTCATTAAAAAAAGAAATTTTTGCATGATGTTAAATTTTATTTTTAGGATGAGTCTTTCTTGTTTAAGTAGTGTAAAATCTAAAATTTTAGAATATGTGTCCCAGAGGAAGAAACTTAAAGAGTGCTTCACCATTACCATTCTTTAGATTATGGACAACACTTTGGAGGAATAAAAACTACTGCTAAAGTCCTTTAATCAGGTTTGTATTGGCCTACATTATTCAAAGATGCTCACAATTTTGTTTTGCATTGCAACAGGTGCCAAAAAATAGGTAATATCTTAAGGTGACATGAGATGCCTTTTAATAATATCCTTGAGATAGAGATTTTTGATGTGTGGGGTATTGACTTCATGGCTCCATTCATATCTTCATACAACAACAAATACGTCTTGCTTGTTGTAGATTATGTCTCCAAATGGGTTGAAGCGGTAAGCTTTCCTCACAATGATTCCAAGGTGGTGATAAATATCATCAAGAAGAACACTGACACTTAATTTCGCATTCCTAGGGTAGTTATTAGTCATAAAAAGAGTCACTTTTACAAGAAGTATTTTTGATGCACTTTTGAAAAAATATGGAGTTAACCATAAGGTTGCAATTGAATACCATCCTCAAACTAATGGCTAAGCGAAAGTGTCCAATAAAGTAATTAAAAGGATTTTGGAGAAAACAGTTTGTCCCATAAGAAAAGATTGGGTAAGAAGATTGGATGAAGCACTGTGGGCATATTGGACTGCTTACAAGACCATAATTTGCATGTCTTTATATAAATTGGTCTTTGGCAAAGCTTGTCACAAACAGGTGGAACTTGAGCACAATGCTTTTTGAGTTGTGAAGAAGTTAAATTTTGATTTACAAGTAGTGGTTGAGCAAAGGTTGTTACAATTAAATGGACTAGATGAATTACACCTTCAAGCTTATGAGAATGCCAA